CTCTGTATGCATCTAAAAAACTCATCCTTTCATGTCCCGAAGTGGCGTCTACCAGTTGGTCAATTTTGGGCAGAGGAAAGCTGTCTTTGGGGCTTAACTACCAGGACACGTGGCACCTCGGCTGACACGTCGGCGTCACCATGCCACGTGTTGGTATTCAGAAAATACATCCCCACATTATGAAATTTAAATTGTCCAACTGTCCAGCTGTTTATGTTTTGATGAGGAAAATATAAGGATGGAGCTATAGTTTTGATGAAAAACAACTTGATATTCAAGTCAGTCAACTTTCAAAGACTCTCCTAACTGTACAGTGTTTTTTTATTTATTTATAATTTTTGTTTCCAAGCACCAAAAATAAAAAGGAAAACCAAAAGCACTATCAAACTGGTTAGTACGCGGCGTTGGTAATGTGGTATACATGCGATTCAACAAAATTGCATGAAGTGCACCGCACTAATTTAGGAGCTTAGCTTTGTCTTTAGCAATAAAAAAATTTAAGGCTGATAAAATAAAGCAATCCATAAACAACTCTTTAGGTTTTCTTTATTGTATACGCATGTGCGTGTTCCTTTAATTCTGTTTGAAAACGGGAAGGGCCCTGTTTGGATGTACAGAAAATAAATCCAAATCAGTTTAATTTGAATTCTGGATTTTATTGTAATAAAAAATAAAATTAAATTCAAATGTTTTTGGCCCAAAAAGATTAGAAGCCCAACCCAGCCCGCCCGACCGACCGGACGGCCGGCGGCGGTGGCGCGCGCGTGGTGATTTTTGGGTCCAATGGGTCTAGCCCATTTTGCCCATAACCTCTCCCTCTAAAACACTTGGGTACCCCTTGGGGCACACCCCAAGTATCTCACCCTAAGCCTTATAAACCCTTTCAAAACCTCCCACCAAATCAATGTGGGACAAGCCAATTTACAACCTTAAGGAATTTCCACCAAAACTCCATTTCCATGGAGCACACTTTGGCTTCAATTTCCCATTCACTCGGTAATGGTTTTGAGCAACCAAATATACCACGTGAATCACAACGCGGCATAGAACGCGTTACCACTTTGACCCGAGTAAATCGACACTCAGGGCCCACCTAAAAAATAGACCGAACTTAGGAAAAAATTCTGGTTTTATCCAGAATTTTATAACCATTTCCAACATAATTGTCATCTCACCAAATTACTGCTGTGTGTGTGTGTAGGAAAGAGGGGAAATATACTTCTTTTACAGGCCTAAAGTAGACAAAGAAGCTCATAGCCCAGATGACGTCCAACGCTTCTATATTGTACTCAGGCCGGACCTGGACCTAGAGCCGGAGGACAACCCCCGTCACTACGGCAAGTAGGGGTGGGCGCGGGTCGGTTGCGGCCACGGAACCTCCAATCCGCCATCCGTCCGCCAGATTGGCGGATTGAAGAAAATCAATCCGCATCCGTCCGCCAATCCGGCGGATGTGGATTGAGCGGATTGGCGGTTTGGCGGATGGATGCGAATCGGTTTGGCGGTTTAAAATTTTATAAATTTTCAACATAATTCAACTTGTGCACTTCTTCAAACGAAAAAAGAAAAAAAAGAAAAAGAAAGTATTACAGTCAATGACTTAAAAAAAATATTACAATCACTGTATACCTTATCCAAAGAAAAAAAGTTTGAAACTTTAGAATATCATGATCACTGCATGCCTCATCCACATATTACAATCATAGTATGATTCATCCCCATAAAGTATTACAATCTGTGATTCTTAAAATATAATAACAATTCAAATCACCAAAACCATGAACAGAGCAGTAGTAGAGATTGAATGTCTCTGTATTGTTACATTTACATATGTTTTTGAAAACAAAAACCAACCAGCATATATCATATTTTCTATTTATTATTTTTAGAGTTACATTTAAAAACTAAAAAATATATATGAATAATACGTTTATTTTTTTCAATTCAAAAAATATATTCAAGTTGAAAACTTTTTTTCAACAGAATATTTAAACTCTTTTTCAATTGAAAACACAAATATAATATTTAAACAAATTAAAAATACAAAGTCTTATAAATTACTAGGGGTGCTCGTGATTTCACGGTTTGGGGGTTCGGTTGCAGCCAAAAAATCTCAAATCCGCCATCCGTCCGCCAAATTGGCGGATTTGAGAAAATCAATCCGCAACCGTCCGCTCGTCATCACGCATCCGTCCAAAATGCGGCGGATCGGTTTGGTTCGGTCGGTTTTGGCGGATCGGTATATCCGCTGCTCACCCCTAACGGCAAGGAAGGTCAAGCTAAACCTTCTAACAAAAAGGAGGTGATCACTTCTAAATATTTCATTCAATTTTATTTAATTGTGTGACTTTTTCATATGATATAGATTTCACTATTTTTTTTTTAAATATCATATTTTTTATTTTTTATTTTTTATTTCAGTATTTGATTAAGATTATTGTTTAAAATTAAAATATTAATTTCTTGTTTATTTAGTATTTAATTTCATGTTTAGTATTGTGTTATTTATTTATTTATTTATAATTTCTATTTTATTATAAATAAGGTTGTTACGGTTTTTACTTAATAATATATAGTTTATTGAGAGAATTCTCTTTTTTTACTATTATTTTGATAATCTTTAAATTTAACAAGTTATAAAAGAAGAGTTGCAATTATTTATTTATTTATTTATTTTGTGTTTGGTTGGGGATTTAAAAAGGGAAAAAAAAAATTAGATAAAATATAAATAAAATATACTTATGTTTTACCTAATTTCACATGCTTTTTTTCTTTTTTCTTTTCTCTTTCTAAATCTTTCTCTAAATTCCCAACCAAACACATCATTAGGATTAGTGTAATTTTTTTCACTGCTGTAGGAAGTAAACGTGGAGACGCAACCATTGCCGCGCTTAATTATTATGGGGCGGAAAAGCCTTCCAGATCCCAGCAAGAAAGGCCGACCTTATTGGGGTTTCGTAGACATGGTCACCACTACAATTGAAGATGTCAAGAATGCTCTTAAAGGAGGTTTTGAACTTTGATTTCCATCTTTTAAATCCAATCATTTTTGTTTTCTTTTACTACCACTGCTGTTATTGTGAATTAATTCTTTCTTATGCTGCAACAATACAGAGGAATACGTACCATACTAGAACTAAAGGATTGTTTTGTTTTACTATCAGTAATGTTAGACTGGTTTTGGATCATGGATTTATTTACGTAAAAATTGAAAAGAACATATTTTCATTTTCAAATTCCTACCCAAATATAGTTATTGTGAATTCTTTCTTTAGTAATAAATGCTGCAATGAAACAGGGGAGTACGATACTAGAACAAAAGGACACCGCCACAACCCCCCTGGGAGGGCATTAGGAGAAGGCATTTATCGCATCCTAAGGCACAATACCGGCAAAAAAACACACACCCATCTGATTTACAAGCTTGAATTACCGCCAGAAGGGGATAAGAATGAGCCACAAGAATCACTCAACGTAGAACGCGAAGGCTCCTTTCTGATTCAAATAAAGAATCCTGATCAGCAGCAGCAGCAACACGGCGACACTTCTTCGCAATTTGGAGGAACTCGAAGCAAGCGCAAGGCAGCTGTTTTTCCAGCACATCTGCAAGGAAGTTTGGGAAATTAAGGTACCATCCAGCTGATACACCGGAGTTTTTGAACTACGAAGGATGCGAATTCTTGCTCATATCAGCTTCCGATGACATAGAAGAAGAGCTGGGGTTGGATCTAAAGACTGAATGTGAATCTGAGCATTGTTCAGATTTGGTGAAGACTTTTGGGGAGACTGTTTCCACCACTCCTCTCCTGAAAGGAACCTGGATTTGAATTTCCAGTTTTTGAATTTCATATCTGAAAGTAGTGCAGCTAAGCACCCCTCCCTTTTGGTAACTGAAGTTTTGTTTTGCCTAGGTGCTAGGTGGTTGTACATTTTGTCACTGTTGTGCTTAAACATGGTCGTAGGTTTCGACTGGTTTGTGTCATATCGTTTGTTATAATCGCACTATGTATGGTGTTTGTATCTCAGTTTTTTTGAATTTTACCTATTCTATCTAAGAAAAGTGAAAGGTTGGACCCTTTTTTGGGGAAGAGTAATGTTAGAAACTTCAAATATTTTATCAAAAATTTTATCAAAAGTTGGGTCTCACACCCATGTGAGACATTTGATAAAATTTTTGATAGAATTTTAGAACCTCTAGCATTTTTGTTTTGGGAATTCCTTTGTGGAATCTCCACCATTCTCAATGCATTGTATTCTTATTTTTTTTTAATATTTTATTTTTTTTAGACCGACATGTGTATTCGAGATTGTAGAGCTCAAAAACAAGGAAATTTGTATTATTTATGTTATATTTATATCATGTAAACCACTTAAGCCATTCTCTTGACATATTATGTACATCGTCATCTTAGCGCACTATTTAAGTATGATAATTTTAAATATAATAATAAATATAATATAATATATATAATAGACAAAATATATATTTATTATATTTGACATTACTATTAGAAGACAGCTTGTCTCCAGTGACGATTGAATTGTCCAATCCATGCTTGTAGATTCACAATGATCTTATTTGTTGATATTTTAAGTTTTTCTATGTAAAGCATTTACAGAAACATTTAGAGTGATTTAATAATTATAATTACATTGTATTTATATTTTAAAAAATAAATCTTAAATGTAATTTTGAAAATAATTCATTTCCAGTGGTTTATTAAGAATTTTTTTTTATTTTAGAAATTTTTTGTATTAATCATAGATTGTATTTGATATTATCATAATATATTGAGGTTCATTATAATATTATATATGATTAAAACAATAAATTGTGAGTGTTGATTTTTTATCTCGTAACTAAATAGATCTCTTGCCGAAATCTAGGAAATTTAGCTGAATAGCACACGGTAAAATAGATTAAGCTAAACAATTGCACATAAGAAAATGAGAAATATCGCTGTGACTCATCCACTCGTGGCACTCTGACGATCAAGTCAGTAAACTTATCTGTCAAAGATATTAAACAAGTATTCAATGCATAAGTAAAAGCATACCTTCGACTCACAGGATACCTCACTTTTATAGCCAACAGCGCCCTCATCCTCTAGAAATCTCACTTTATAGGACTCAAGCACTATACTTATCTCAGACTCTTAATTAGACATAAATGATATCCTCAAAAGTCACATCTTTATCTAAACTAAACGCATCATATATTTAGAAATCTTGTTCATCTTTATCTAAACTAAACGCATCATTTATTTAAAAATCTTGTTCTCTATCTAAATATCTAGGATTCCGGTATTACCACACCCTATCTCCCTGTCTTAACAATACCACAATCATTTTAACATTTTAACAATCTAATTCGTCTACGTGACACCACAGCCAATACCTCAATCACCTGGCATGATCTCGAAAATACATCCCCACATAAATAAAAGTAGTGGTTTTGGTCCAATCCAAGATCGGACTGGACCGTACTGTTGGGACAGTGAGGGCCCACCACGGGTCCCGTTTTAATAATCTGAACCGTTCAATGTGTAGAACTCGTCGAGTACTATATGCCTGTAAAAAATCACGTTGATCGGATATCGATAGCTATGTGAACAAAATAGTTTTTTATCAATCGTTAATTTTTTCACCGTCCATTTTTTTTATACAAAACTGATTTGATCACATAGCTATTGATATCCAATCGACGTGATTTTTTATAAACATATAGTACTCGACGAGTTCTACATATTAAACGGTTCAGATTATCAAAACGAACCCAAAAAATGAACTCCATAAATCGAACTAGACAAGTCTAATCTTAATCTCAACTTGAGATAAGCTATACCTAAATAAAATTATATAATTCTCTACTTGCAGCCGAGAATATCAATTGAAATACATTATCTTGGAACTTCTGACGGAATCCAATATAAAAACCAAAGCGCGAGCTGCCAAAAGCGGTGAACGTGGAGAGATTTGATTAAAAAAAACATTAAGAAAAAGTGGGTAATCACGATGGATGCCAACCCTGTAAAAATATAAACGTACTAACCATTATTGAATCTTCAAGCAAACGTAATCATTTTAAGAATAAATTATAAATACATTCTTTAAAATTTATTTAAAATATAAATTATCATCACTAATTTAAAAAATTATAAATATATTCTTGTTAAAAATTTTTATTTAACAAAATTAATTAAAAAAATTCATAATTACTCTCCTATACAATAATAAAATTACTTAAATTATTAATTGAAATATATTTATAATATCATTAAAAATTATTAATTGACTTGACGATTTATTAATAAAATGGACGATTTGTTATGAAATTAAAAATTTCAAGGGGTAAAATGTAATCTCCAGAACCACAAAAGGTGATTTGTATTTTATGGCACCGTTTGGGAAAAAGGTTTCTAGGTTTTTTTGACTATTTTAGCCACAAAAAATAAAATAGACTATTTTAGTCACAATTAACAAAACATCACATCCAATTTATAATTATTATACTCTTCTCTAAAAAAAAAGTCAAAAAAGTTAAAAAGATCCTTCCCAAACCAAGCTTTTTAGCCCAGGCTAAAATAGCCAAAAAAATTAAAAAGCCAAAAAGCCAACGCACTTCCCAAACGGAGGCAATATGTATTCATAATTTATTCTAATTTTAAATAGGGTCCAGCTTCTATCCAGTCCGAGATCGGACTGGACCGTGCTATTGGGCCCGCGGGGGCCCACCACGGGTCTCGTTTTGAAAATCTGAACCGTTCAATGTGTAGAACTCGTCGAGTACTACATACCAATAAAAAATCACATTGATTGGATATCGATAGCTATGTGATCAAATCAATTTTGTATAAAAAAAAATAGACGGTGAAAAAATTAATGGTTGATGAAAAACTGTTTTGTTCACATAGCTATCGATATCCGATCAACGTGATTTTTTACAGGCATATAGTACTCAACGAGTTCTACACATTGAACGGTTCAGATTATCAAAACGGGTCCACGGGAGAATAATCATACTGTTGGGTTTGTGGAGTC